ACAACGTGTAATTTGTGTTTGCATTCTCATTATTCATAATGATCATTGAATCCTTTGGTCTTGAGTTCAATTGAAATGTATTTCCCTTTGCATGGGAAAATATCATTGATTTCATTTCTATCTCATTCGGTTCAGCGCATCAACCATCGCTTTTTTGAACTGACTTGGTTGAATTGTGTTTGTTTGAACTGAGAATTTGCTATCAACGTGAGAATCAACGCGGCTCAAGAGAGATCAGGGACGATAATTCAACTTTGAACTCATTTTGTTAAAAGAAATCAAAGCTAAACGCTGAATATTGAAGTCAATAGAGAAAAAAATATATATGATTTGCGCTTCATAGAGCATTGATAAAACACACACGGAACGAAAACAATGGAAATACAATTGCCAAAACTGCTTTGCAATGAAGTTCATACGGTGAACAATAGTAAAAAATGATTGCAAAATCGTGCCATTGACAAAATTTACATACATTTTTGCGCTCGGCTACTGTTTGTGGACTGAATGTCGTTCATATGTGTCAAAAATGGCAGTTCAAATGGACGTAATATGCAAAGAGAATGCCAAAATATTCGGTAAAGCAGTGGAAGTGGTTTATGGATTTTTTTTTCGCTTTTTTTTCAATTTTTGCATTGTCAATTCCAAACGACATTTATTCCAATTCTAGGAGTATATATTTATAGAGTAAGAGCATAGGTCAAATATAATTTATTATTTCAGCATGGTTAAATACCAATTCTGAAAGTCGATCAATTTATTAATTTTGAAAACGTAATCGATTTCTTGAATGTCACATATAAAAATGAAAACAATGTAATCTCTGGTGGGAATCTTCAATAAGAATTTAGAAACCTAATATTTTTTTTCATTCAAAATCCAATCAGTTCAATGATCTATGATCTGTTTTTTTTCTTCCTTCTGTTGAGATTGACGAATTTCAGTGCCGGGGCTACCTACCATCACATGCTGTCTTCTCAAATCGATTTGATGATATGTGTAATTAGTTGTGTAGACCGTGTGTAGATCGGCTGGTTGACTACTCGATTACACAAGATTGATTGCCACAGTGACAAACGATATCGATCTAGAATCGGATCCAGATCAAATTTCATCTCGGTGGCTTGATTTCTCGTTACTGTTTGCATTACGGTTCAATCATCGGTAAACAAATCGGAGTCAATGGATTCGTATCAATGGTCGTCATCATAACGTGCGCATGTGGTTAATTACTTAATTTTTCAATCGATATGCAGAGCAGCCGCGATTTCACTCGGAGATAGCCGAGGAGAGAGAGAGAGAGAGAAACTGGCGCACACCATCAGCAAAATAATATCGATTTGTAATGAAAATAAATGGAATATAAATTGATCAATAACTCACTCCAAAGTGAATTGCTTTTGGTAAAGTGAAATGGATAAATCTTAATGAACAAATATCCACAGGTGGTGCGCGCACACATAACCATCCGCTCAACATCGGCTTACGTGCGCTTGCATAGATCGCGTTATTAAGTTTCATATATGATCGTCTTTTTCTCTTTGATGGCCGCTGATCATGTGAGCGCGATCATCCCGTACACAGCGTTCGAATGAGCAATTTTAATTTAAAACTCATATTACCTACAAAGAGCCACAGAGAGGCTTATCAAGAGGCCCACAACATGCTTTATGACCGAAACTGTTCATGGGAAGGGCGCCAATCGATGTTTTTACACCTTTACCATTCATCGTATCATATTTCAAACGGAACGATATGAGATCGCTTTCATTACATTCGTACCGGGGCATTCAATTCCGTTTCATCTATTTTTCGAAAAACTGAATTAGTGCTCCTTCAATGGAAATTGAATCCATGGATTCTCTGCAGAGAGAGAAAGGGAGGATTGCCACCTTTTCTGCCATAATAACCACAGAGTGAAATAAGCGGGCAAAAATTAATTGAAACCAATAAATAAAGTTTCAAGAACTTTGGCTGTCGCATTAATTGTGCTGCACATAATTTTGCACCGCCGTCAAGACAGTATTTCTGACAGTTTCGCATATTGCGTTTGTGTAATCATCATTCGGTTTCGATAGACAATTTTCGATTGTACGCGATGTGTATAGCTCCGTTCAAAGCTAGAGAGATATGTCAATGTTTTATTCATATGCCCACTAAGCTTCTATATTTATGATTGTTCCAAGCATCAAGAAATGAGTTCAAAATTTACAATACAATTTATTAGCCACAACCGCTAGAACAAAAAACTAGATTTCACAAAATTGAATAAAAATCATTTGGGTGTTTGCGTAAAGAATTGGCGGTGCTTGGAACACTTGAATCACATACATAAATCATGTGTCAATGGGCGAACGGCATGTGTCCGAGTTTTTGCCAATTATCATGCAAATTTCGCTGTTTTGCGCAAATTAGACACTGAAATTACAACAAATAACATTAATCTGTTTTCTTTAGCAACGTTTCACATGTTTTACACGGCCACAATTGAAATGTTAATGCGTTTTTGCCGCAATTTTCGGTTTTTTTCTTCTTTCAATTACGCACATCCATCAATAACTGGCAATTTAATTTCAAAATGATATCATTTTAGGCCAAATTTTTCGCCAGAAAAAAAAACACTTTTTGAAGCATACTTAAAATGATTTGTTTTCGAAAAGGAATGTTGGAAAAAGTATAAGTATATTTCAAAAACTTAAGTAGCTTAGCGAACGGTCCGAATGGTTGATGTTTTGAAAGCAAATGTAAACAGGCTCTCGATTGATCGCTCGCTCTCTCTCTCTGTAATGTCGCATTGAGATAAAGCCAATAAAAGGGCACAAAATTCGTAATCGTATACCCAAATGGTATTACGTGTGCCCCATAAAATGGAAATAAATCACATTAAAAGGCATTGATTGCTCATAAATCCATTAAAAACTTAATCATAATAAAAGCGTTCGCTTAAACCGTTTCTTTTTTTTCGTTGTTGTTGTTCGTTCTGAAGAAATGAAAATGGCAATAATAACGAAGCGATGCTGTAGATGGTAAGTGACGACAAAGACGCGACGCGACAGCATCAACAGCGTAAATGATAAATACAATGCGCCAAATACTTGCGCCACAGCAGCAAATCGAGTAAACGAAAAAGAGCCACAAACGAAAAGGAAAAAAACCTGTTCGCATTTGAAGAAATCTCGCAGTGTGATCCGTGTGGACTGTGGAATAAAATGCCGTATGGGATATGCAAGCAGAGTGAATATCAGCGAGCCACAAACGAATTAAAAGTCTGAATGCAAACCTATAAATAAATACGTTTTTCAAATCGAACAACGATTTTAACACGTATTCAAGAGAAAAAGAAATAAAGTACACCAAGAAATGCCAATCTATCGCCTGCCCGCCTGCTTGCACTCACATCGCATCACTTTGACTCACACACTTTGCTCGTGGTCATCAGTCCTCGCTTTGCTCGTCATCCGTATCAATTTATATGTTCAAAACATTCAAACACAAGCCGAAAACCATCATCGCCTGCCGCTCGCTCACACATCCACTGTCCACGCACATCGGACATACCTATGTGTGCCGTGTGTGCTCCTCTCTTGAGCCTGTGCATGTGTACCTTTTGTAAACAAATTATGTTTTTTGTACGTTGCTTATCGGTATTTTTCGGTGTTATTTTTATGGTGCGTTTTACTGGTTGAGTGCATCACCAAGCAAATCACCTTAAAGAGAGGGCAACATGAGTGAGAGAGAGAGAGAGAGCGAAAAAAAATGTGTCGCTTTAAAAATGTTTCTTCACTGTGTTTTTTTTTGGGTTTCTCCTGTTTTCTTCTCACTGCCTTTCCAACTGATCTGACTGAGAATGTCTGGAAGCCCATAAGCTATTAAACAAATCGCGTTAAAGATTGAACACAATCGCATGCGACACACACCAAATGAAATGGGAATGAGAAAGGAATCTGGATAAATTTTTCGGATTTTGTGAACAAAAAAAAAGAGCAACTACGACGAAAAGAAGTGAAAGAGCGATCAAGACAAGAAATGAAAAATTATAGAATTTTAATTGACTGTCAGCCAAAAGAAGGAAAAAAAATAAGCCCGTTGTTGGACCAAAAATACGCGCTCATTTTCGGTTGTTGCTGGTGTTATATCAATGCGAGTACAAAGAAACAAATTACTTTCGATCGAGCGTATCGCAAATACTAATCGGTCGGATGGTTTTATTGAGACTTTTCTTTTCTCTCTCTCTCTCTCTCGCTCTCTCTCTCTGTCCCTCTTTTTTCGTGTTGTCTTTTGTCCCACACTCAACAACGACCAAAGCACCACTTTAGAGTGTGACGAGCGAGACTCAATTTTCCAAACAAATGATGTAATAAAGTCGTACATTATAAACTTTATATATTATTTATAACAGAGATCAAAGAGCAATGACAATAAAGCAAGCAAACGTCTCTGGGTGAAAGACACAAAAACGAGACACACCACTGAATTAACTATTTAAAAACGTAAAATGATTGCCGAGTATCATTGATTTATTGTTCGACATTTAGCCGCTCTTTTTAGATGAACCGTACATAAATTGGTTACTCTCTGGCGCTTCGATTCTCTGACTTTGGTTCGATCGGTTTTTTTCTATGGATGCAAGACGAATTATTTCATACAATTTGATTGTTGTGTGAAGTATCTCATTAGACACCTGGATTGCGTAACAGTTATGATAGTCGAACTTAATGCATTAAATTCTCGAGTTGAACAGAATAAATGTATTGAACAGCACTTCAATTGCATGACTCATACACACTTCAATTGCATGACTCATACTCACCATGTGACGGATAAGCGTAAATTTTACATGAATCTATGTCAATTACGCCAATTGTTCTTAGCTCAAATAGCTACAAAGGTCAATGTGAAGAAAAATTCCATATAAGCTCATTAGCTTATCACTTCCGCTTACAGAGTCAACCTTTTGCAATTACAAGATTTATTGCCACTTCAAAATGAAACAATCCATCTTTTTCAGCTTGTAAAATGTATAATTTTTTTTTATTTATTCTGGAAAAAAATAACAAGTGTGCAAATGTGTACGTACATTAATCATAAGGATAAAAATGGTGATTTTTTGCATGGAAACAAAAGTCAAAGGAAAAAAACGTAAGTGTCTATTGTACCCATTTGTGTTGTATCACTGAAATCAAACTTAATCTACTACTCCTGAATAAAAGACGAACGTATGAGGTAAATGCAGAAAATCGGCGCCAATGTTCGTTTCTGCCTATGGATTTTCCAGTTCAGGTGGGATTGGGATTTTGTTTTCAATGGCGAACTTCTTCAGTGCTTCGTATTTTAGACGCCAGCTCACACTTTCTTCGCGCAAATCCACGTTACGGTTCTGCATCGTTTCCAGGTTTTGCCATTCCTGCAATGTGAAAATTGAATATTTAGTTCGAAAATTCGAAAATGAAATGAAAATTATATGGTGAATGGTGGGTGACTTACGTATGATTTTTTCGTTTCAAGATCGTCTTTTTGTTCAATAATAATTTGGTGAAAATCGAAATCAGCGAAGGAAACAAAAAATTCCAAATTCCAGAAATTATAAAGATGACCAGTGACCGGTAATCGACAAAATGAAACAGAAATAAAAAACAAAACATTGTGATCAACATTATGTTGGAGCGGTAGTGACGGCGGTGCCAATGTGTAACTCACGTACCTTTTTGTTCGATGCGCTTGATACGGCAACTGGCTGCGTAGCCCCTGTTCTTCAATGTGCGACGTCTTTGTTTCATACGAACGATTTGCGAACGGTTCAAACCACGCAATTTCAGTGTGCGATTCAAATCGCGCACTGAAATCGACACCAATTCATCGTCACTGATTTCGGGAATTGGACACGGCGACAATGGAGCCTAGAATATTCAAGAAAGTTCACATCAAACTTTAATTCACCATAGACCTTGTACTGTGATCATTGGCTTCCTTTGTGTTTTTGCCACTTGACGATCGAAAACACTGTTTATTTTGACACATAAACAACACACACCACATTTTCGATGAATTTTTATCAAATTTACTCACCAATGACATTTTTCTTTCGCGTTTTGACTCGAGAGGCATTTTAAATGTTAGCTTGTCCACAAATTACGACTGAAAATACGAGAAATACTCGATGCGTTTCTTGAAAAATCACAAAAATTGCAAGTCATTGCCTTGAATTTTTTTTCTATTGTTCATACATCTGACTTTTCCCTACCATTCGTCATTCGCAAGCGATGGCAGGGTTGTATACGATACGAGCCGACCGCATGAAATCGCATTGAAAAATTGTTTAAAAACATTTATTTGTTTCTTTAAATTGTAAATTTTGGATTAATTTTTAAATTAAATAACATTTTGGTTCATTTTTTTTGAATAATAAGCGCTAAAACTGCCTGTCGATGCTACAACGTAACGGCCAATGGTTTTGGACAACCCAGCTTCAGCGATGCTTGTAGCTTTGACATTTAACACACTCGAAACAATGCTGAATAACGTTCAGCACATTGAATGGCGCTCCATTCAAACGGCACGATACTCATTTCAGCGCGACAAGTGTCAGCAAATGCAACAACGACGGAATGGATTGGTCGTCATGAATTCAATTGTTTTAGAAAGTCAATTAATAGTCTGCATTTAAAATAAAATATGAAAACATGGACTGCAAAACCAATCACGATTTATGTCATTGTTTATTTTATCACATAATTTTCCATGCATTCAAACATGAAAATGATTTGTATTCATTTGCAAGAATTGAATTTTGAATCTAATTGGGTTTCAATGCAATCGTTTGCAATCGATCGAATGTTATGTTTGCTGTCAACAAACCAATTGTTTTCAGGAATAATTTAGCATTTATTAGGATTATTAAGATGGAGAAAATCTTTAAGATGAAGTGAGCAGCCGAATGTCAAGGCCAATAGTATAACCATCATAATAGCATCATAATAGAAATAAACATGCGCTGATGTGCATTTCGTGCATTAATTAGGAAAATAAGTTAAAACCAAATTGTTGAGAAAATAGTCGAATCTATTGCACACGATGAATTTCGGTTCTCATGAAAATAATTAAATAATGAGTCTTGTTTGAGGAATTTAATGAAGATTTGTATGCACGGACATTTTTATCAGCGTTTTTTTATATCTTTAAACGAGAGATGGGAGAGAGAGGGGAGATCATAATCATAATCATCAACTTTGCAAGCAGGTAATCATTAAAATGGTTCAATTAATTTTCTAGACTCTCACAGGCTGTAGGCATCAACCGAACGAATGGCAACAGCAGCAATGGCGACGACAACGACGATCAACCATCAAATCACGATACATTATGAATTTGGAACAAAACAGAAACGAAAATCATAAAATACAGTAGCCACAGTGATGAACAGCGACGACGATGACTCATGCATTCATCTGTTGATGCTGCACTGTGCGCAACGATTGTTGAGATATGCTGCGCGGTAGCCAAAACTTTGATACAAACACAAGCTCATAGGCGACACACATTCCACTGAATCGCTGCACCACACCATCAGCCGTGGAACTTTGGAAAATGCAACAAAATGAAATGAATTAAAATAAAGCAACAACAATTTATATGACTTAAAATTACGGGGTACTTTGGAAATTGCTCAAATTATAGTTCTCGAGTTCTTAAATTTGAGCTCCTGTTTTTTGTTGTTGTTGCTGCTGCTGTTATTGTCTTCTCTTTCGTTCATATCGTCGATCCGTCTATTTGCCATACAGCTTCCGATGGACCTTCGTTACCTTTTGATTATTATGGGCATATCGACTTTTAAGGGCTTGCTTTTTTGTTCTGCTGGCTGCATTTTCTCTTTGCATTGGATTTCAATCAACACCTGAGGGCATGGAGTGTAATACGAGAAGCGATTTATCGCAACGGCATGCAAAGAAGAAAAAAACATCAAATTTGCGCGAAGCGGAAAACCATGTGAAATAATAAGCATACAGTGCAGCGCATACAAGGTCGACTGAAGCGATTCGATGATATATTTGACCAAGTCATCAATGCAACCGTTTTTATCGACGTACATTCATGATTGATGGGTTTTTATGGCTAATTTCTCATACGCTACCGTTTTTATATCATCTTTCAACTCGAATTAATACATTGAATACGGTAATTCGGATCGGCCACTTTTTATGTGCTATAAACATTTGTTTGATTGGTGAAAATCTTCTCAATGGATTTAATCCAATAAAAATCCAAATCATCAAATTTAGATTTTAAAAAGGAGTTCCAATCTTCGGAAGATAGAAGTTTCTTTTTTAAAATCATTCCGATAGAGTGAAGCCGTATGACTGAGATTGTAGGTGAAAAAAGTCCGAGAGAAGAAAGTTGGTGTAACGCGGAGGCGGAAAAGTATGGAAAGAGAGCCGAAGTTATTTGGTGGTTTGAGGGCATTTCTCATCATTACTTCGTGTTTTGGTATCGACTGTTTTTCGTCTTCCTCAAAGAGTAATCATAACTTTGAATGGATTGGCATCACAAGCAATCGTTTGACGTCAAAAACATCATTTTCAACCGATTAACTTTTGGCCGATTTGAATGCAAACGATCTTACAAGTGCCTCTCTCTCGCTCTCTCTCGGTCATGTGCCGTGATCAAAATAGCCCGATGAAACCGAATCAAATAGAGTACATTGATTTTAACGTTAAACTCGCTTGTTGTTGTTTTTTTGCCGTAAAATATCTACGAGAAATGTGGTTTAAATGTAGCCCTTCGATCGATACATACTTGAACAGTTACTTTTTCGAATCGATTTGTTTTTTTTTCGCTAAAACTTCAACTATCAATCATATACGGAGATATTAGGCGGAATTATTTATACCATTATCGCATACTTTGCACAGGCCACAACAAGTACATCTCCAACGCAAAATCAGACAATTTGATATGCCATGTGAAAAACCGTTTCGGAAGGAATATGCTCGAGGCGCTAAAACAATTGCCGCCGAACATAATATATCGACTCTTTGATTTTACTTCGTCTCTCGAATCAGTAGCTGCGATTTCCTCAATTGAACATTTCTATTCGAATGAAATAACTTGCAATAAGTTTTCATAAGGCCGAAGTAATTTTGACTAAATACTTACACTAAAAAATCATCGCAAATTTAAAACGATTACAGTTTTAATTTCGCCCATTTTGTTCTAGCAACATCCGATGTTGATTTGTATAATAGGTGCCACATTAGCTGCCAATTTATCCATTAGAATGATGAAAAATTGGAGGCACGACTACAGTGGGCCGATTTTACAGCGGTAAAATTACAATATTTTCATGCAAAATTGTGGCAATTAGTACGGTTTCAATTTTCGTTCGAATAATTTAATCACTCATGTTGAGATATTTACAAACGCCACATTTTGTATACATTTATGGGGTCGTCCCGGTCATTTGCATCATTTCCATTTGCTAAAGCGAATGAACAATTATTCATTTCATTGAAGCACAACTCAAGCAAGAAATGATGATTTTTGAATCAAAACAAACTTTGAAATTACAAAGCATAAACATTTTTTGATCTGAAAATTACGCCTCAACCATACAAAATGCTTTGCATAAATTTATTTATGCGAAAAATGTGATATTCCTCCATTTTTAGAATAATTTCCGCTTCAATCAAGTTACAAAGAAAACTAAAAATTTTAGTCAAAAAATGCTCTTTCTTCCTCTGCCCAAAATCATCGATTCAAATGTGCTGAGAAAAAATTGACAGATGAATACATTACATTCAGCACGAATCAATCATCGACACACGACACCAAAAGTCATGCCTTAATGTTTACATCCCATGGTTGAGGTTATGTTTTTCGCCAGCATTTCGGCAGAATGCACCGTCTGTTTGAATAGTTTTTTTTTTCTTTGTAGTTTTTATGAGTTAAAATGAGTTTTGCACGACCCAAAACGGTTATCGAAGAGAATGACACGGTCATATTGTATTTAACGGTGCAGAGTTTGCATGCGATTGATGTGTTGCCGTATATCAAAAACAAAAAAGACGAATTAATTGAGAATGTCTTCCAAACCAGCTACGGAGCATTGAAAGTGAAAGAGTTGATAGGAGTGAAATATGGTTCAAAGGTAAATTGAATGATTGAACAAACAATGTGACGTTTTATTTTGTTAATTTCATTGTGAATTGTGTGTCTCTTTTTCATTTTGATTAGGTTCAACTATCCAAAGGATGGGCATACGTGTTGCAACCAACGCCGGAACTATGGACACAAACTTTGCCGCATCGAACTCAGATCATCTATACACCTGACATTAGTATGATTCTATTTCAATTGGAGGTCAAACCGGGCAGTGTGGTCGTGGAATCAGGCACTGGCAGTGGCTCTCTATCACATTCATTTCTTCGGGCTGTTAAGCCACTTGGCCATTTGCACACATTCGACTTCCATGAACAGCGTTGTGATATTGCTCGTGAAGAGTTCAAAAGCCATGGACTCGCTGATTTTGTGACGGTGGGTATTTGCTTCGTTTTTACAAACAAAAATTTTGTTCTTCATAAACAAAAGAGAAATTAGAAAAGGTTCTTTGAAAAAAAAAAAATCTTCCATTTTCAGGTTTATCACCGTGATGTATGCGAAAGAGGCTTCACCGAAGAATTAAATGGGAAAGTTGATGCTGTATTCTTGGATTTGCCAGCACCACATTTGGCCATACCACATGCACTCAAAGCACTGAAACATTCAGGTAATACATTGAAAAATCAGAAAAATTCCCGTCTCATTCATCAGCTATTCGAATTGACTGTAACAATTGTATTCAGTGAATACTATTCACACGTTTGACGCATTCTCAACGAATCAATTGTTGAACATCAAATAAATATCCGATTGGTCATCATAAATCTGATTTGCTTACAATCAACTGCATAATTTCATGCAATGAACAACAACGTACACAGTGCAAAGCGTGAGAATATGCAGATCAGCCAGCAAACAATGCATCGAGTGTGTGTTTGTCACATAACTTAAACGCTCGCATATCAAATCCGGTTCTAATAAAGACATAAATATTAATGAGATTTATTTTGCACTTGTCGTTGACATTTTTCAAATACATTATGATTTTGTTAGTTTGCGCTGTATCCGCCAAGCTATTCGTTCGTAATTGGCGAGTGCTCGTTACATTGAACATAGGAAATAAATTGGTTTGCTCTATTTGCAAATTAAATTTCCTAGTTTGCCACGGGAAATTGGGCGTCGGTACATCAAACGTTTGGCGCGTTTCGTTTGATTTATCAAATCAATTGACAGAGCCAAAGATTTATCGTCAGACGATCACAATCAATGCAATCAAATAACCAATTAGTAAACACTCTCCACGTCCACCAAAATGACAAACGATACCCAGCTCAAATCCACTCTATAGACCAAAGTGAATTGACAATTTTCTAATCAATTAACGAAAGTTTAAAAACCAATCGCCAAACGATTTTTCAATTGAAAACCAGCTCACTGGTGATTACTGATTGAAATGAAATTGTGCCATTGAATGGAAACATAAGTCACTCTTCAGTATACATTCTCTGTCTTTGCTGAGCATTCAAGCAATGTTCATCTTATTGAGTTGGTTTCTTTTGCTCTCTTTTTCTTCATTGATTCTCTCAGCTTCCATTGAAATCAATTTGAATATGTCGATCGAATATTCACACTCACTATTCACTACAAATGTTTTTTTTCTCCATTGACGCATTCCTCGATTGAATGGCGAAGGGTTTGTCATTGAACTTGAAGATAAGATTTGAAGTGTACAAACAGAATGTTTGGTTTTTCTTGTCTCTTTTCAAATGTTTCACCGTATGTTTTGCATGAATATCGATGACATCAAACACCAAATACGTAAAAATAGAGAATATCATGTAAATCGCCCGAGTCAAACGACCGAATATGGCTATAAAAATATGTTGTGATACTGTCACAAAAATATGCTTTTAACCCATTTGATAAAATCGCAATAAATTGTTGCAAACTCAACAACAACCAAAATACAATTTGCATACGACAAAATCAGACGATTGAAATTGCGCAATAGAAATGCGCGCGCGCTCACTCGCTTGCTTGCTCAGTAGCGATTCTCAATAGACAATAAGTAATAAAACGCCACATTATTTGCATCTATTTATGGGCAAAACATGAGTATTGAATCGGTCTGTGAAAAAAAAACGGCATGCAAAAACATTTTTAGACTGTGCGTTCATCAACGGGGCAAGTCTGGGCGAATCTCGATGCAATGAGAGAATGCATACGTGTGTGTTAAGACAGAGACATATTCGGCTTGTTTACATCGTATCGGTATGACGCGACCGCGTGAGTTGAACATAAACCGTATTCGAAAAAGGTGGAAAAATGAGCGATGACGCATTTCTAAGGCATCGAATTTGTGAATGCAAACATTCCATTTGATATGCATATTAGCCTGGGTGCATCAAATCCAAATGGATATAAACACAATGATATGAATTCAATTATTGGTTATTCCATGGCAAAAAAACAGAGAAAATCCAAGAGAGAAAAAAACGATTGAGAAATATGCAGGAAGCAACTGAGAAAAAAAAACGGGGACAAATGCACTGTAAAGTGCAAACCAAGTCAACATGTCCAAGCACAAGATAAACAAAGAAGAGCTTGTCATCAGTTCGCTACTCATTATCATGTTATGCTTTTTCCCTTCTCCGTTACTGTTTGTTCTGATCATCGTACGTACGTACGCATTGTATGCAGTCGATCGTAACCATTGTCGTCGTGATGGCATTGATTTGCATTTATTTTCGCTTCTTCTTCACTGAACGTGTTTTTTTCTTTCTCCTTTTTGATATTCACGAAATATTGATAAACAAAAACAAAATGCACATTCCGCGATCTTATTCACTTATTTCTTTCGTTTCCCATGCATCGTGTAGTACTCGAAATTTAGGTCAATGGCAATCGCAATAAACACTACATTTATTTCGTTATCTCGTATATAATTTTAGGCGGACGCTTCTGCTCATTCTCACCGTGCATCGAACAGGTTCAACGAAGCTGCGAAGCATTAGAACAGAACGGTTTTGTGGAAATTCAAACCATGGAAATTTTGCAAGTCGAAGAATACGTTAAAACAAAGGTTATCAACGTTTTGGACTTGGAATTTTTGAAAACAAAGGTAATTCTATTCGACTAGTTACACGGGCAACTGAATATTATTTAAATGACCGTTTTTTTTTGTTCTTGATTCACAGAAACCCGAAGATGTAGACGCTAAGGATTTGAAAACTACAAAAGAACAAAAGAAATATGTAACGACACAAGTTCCATATACAATGCCAGGCCATACGGGTTACCTCACATTCGCCACTATTCCACCACTGTTTGCGCGATAAATTCCAAAAATGTGTAACGAAAAATGCTAAAATAAATGAATTTTAATGGAATCAAGTGTTAGCAGTGTCTTTTTTTTCGAACGACCTGTTGTTTTTGTTTTCGACCATTTTTTTTCTATTGTTCATAATCAAAATGCGACAATGTGTCGTAAATCAATCAGATTAATATTTTATTTTTCACAGAGTGAGGAGAAATGTCTTTGTTTACAAGAATCCAAATTGCTACATTTTCAGTCAACAAATTTCAAAGCATATGAAACCATCTTCAGCATTTGAATTGCGATTCCAAATATCCAAATTGAATTTTCTGTACACATGATCTCCAATATAAATAGAAGCAGCCCTTTCTTTAGATTTCACTATCACTTTTGAAGTTTCAATCGGTGCATTTCTTCTGATCAACTTAATCAACAACTTAGTCCACACGATGGCCGTTCATTTAAGAGTACTATTTGTACAAATTATTGTGCTGTTGTGTTTTTTACTTGTTTCATCACAAGGAGAACCAATAGATCCACCAAAAGTGGAGCAGCTGCCAGCAATTCGGTACCCACTCGATAAACCGTAAAACTTGGTTGCTAATTAGTTTTGCAAGACGTTTTTCATCTTTTTTTCAATATTCTAGTGATATTCCTGGTGTGAAAAAGCTACCAATTATCGATTGTTTGTTTGAGGACAAAGCAGAACCCATTAATGAACAAGACGATCAAAAGTATGTATTCAGTTTAAAATACGGGATAGTTAGCAATTGAGTGATTAAAATAAGAGCGCGGCTTACATTTGAATCTAATTCTGAATCTCCTACTTTACCGTTTTTATAATTGTTTCTTACGATGTATCAACCAGAAAAATCGTTGCTCTAAAGTCACCTGTGTTCGGATGGATCAAAAAGAAGGTAAAAAAGACAGACTTTTCGAAGGTTTTTGATGGGTAAGTCGGGGTTTATATGAATACATTGTTTGTGTAGGAAAAGAATCGATTTTTACTCATTTATTGTTGAATTTCCATGTTCATAAGGTCGAAGCAAGCAGCTGAAGGCATATTGAAGGGAAAATAACTCCAGAATTCGTGTGGAAACAAATTAACATCTATATTGAAAATGATCTCCCTGCTATTTTTTTATTATAAAGAACCATTTTATTTTCGAAAATATGTATTATGTTATTCAATTCAAGATATTGTTTATTTTTCATTCAAACGTTTTAATCGCAATAAATTTATGGGAATGGGTATGAAAGCAAATGGGAAAAATGTAACATTTTAATTTATTCAGCACAATTAATGATCTCAAAAATGTTCCTATTGGCGCATTAGTTATCAGTTTCTGCTAGAAATAGTAGTTCGCATAATTTATAATTATAGTCTGATCGATTGTGAGTGTTGATCTTATTTGGTTTTGAGTAAGGCTCGACATCGGTTCAATTGTTAAATCTTGATAGCGTTCGTTCACAAATAAATCAACAGAGTGCAATGTGTTTAGCTGGCTTTTTGGCGGAACTTTTATGCTGTATTGCAGAGAGTGTGGAAGAGTTTGAGGAAGTTAAAATTGTTGTCGAGGAAATTGAACAATTTGCTTCTGCTGTGGATGAAGTGAAGAAAATCTCATCAAGCAACGAAGATCTTTCAAACAGTGATTGGTGTGTACTTCTCTTGTTCGAATATATTTTGAGCTTTTTTTTCTGTATTCTCATTTCCAACTTATGTCATAGTCATCAATCTACTCAATCCGACGCAAAATCAATGCTTGTGAAGAATATTGTAGGTGCTGCAATTCAAGCAAATCCAACGGTTAGTGCAATAAAAAATACGTTGGGCGCCATAAAAGATTATCGAAATGGTGAAGAAATTTCAGACATTGTCAAAGAACGGTCAGTTAATTCTAACTCTTTCAGCAAATTGGAAAAGAATATTAATAAGTGTGCACATTTTTGTCTATTTAAGGACTGTTCAAATGGTTGAAGACCAAGTTCCAAGTGTCGTATTAAAACATGCAGAAGCCTAATTGAAAAATGGGATCGAAAAAGTGACGGAGAATTGAAGAAAAGCATCATGTTTTGTATTATATTTATTGGGAGCTAGTTTTTGAAATTGTGGAGACTATTTTATTAGGCTAGGTGTTAGGAGTAAAATTATAATGCAGAGAAAGAGAGAGAGCGCAATGATATAGTAAAACGGATGAAATTATTGAATAACTATGCTATTCACAGTATATTTGAAATTGTCTAAAAAGCAAGCATTTTATTTTTGGGCATGACATGATGGAAATAATATTTCCGAAAAATATATACATTCCAAATGCAACCGGTCAGTGTTTTGTTTCTTTGCTTTTGTTTATTTTCTACTTTTGATTTCGTCAATTTTTTCGAATTGCATTAATTCAGCGACGGTATGGAAAATCACTCTCGTTCGTTCTATAGTGACACGCTTCTCATCAATTTTGAGCGTTACTCAAGTGAATATTCCACATTGAATAGCACCATTCCTTCATCGAAATTTGATCTATTTAAAAGAAAACCACAGACAAAATTGTACATGAAATGCGTTTAACAATAGATGTTCCTTAGGTCGAGAACAAATGAATTTCTAATTAAAATTTATTTTTGTAATATATATTCATCGTCATGCGCAAATGCTTAATTCATTCAGTGCATCCACAAATGTTCGAAATGACACTAAAATCGCTGATGCTGCAACCGACTCGACCATAAATGGTTACACAGCATTTGGCACCAATTGTAATGCATTTGCATGAATCAGTTTTTGTTTTTGGTGCATCGCAAATGTCATACTTTGTGTAATGGCTAATCTTCAATAACTATAATTAAATAATAATTCACACTGCAAACGATGATGCATCCATGTCAGTCGAGCGAGAGAGAGAGAGAATGAATGCACAAATTCAATTCATAAGGAAAACTATAAGACTTTCAACGTGATTCAATTCGAGCGAGAGGTAAACCTATTATTATGACAAAAATATGCATTCCGTCGGAATTTCTATTATTCTGCCGGAATTGTTGTTGGCCCCTCTCTAATTATTGCCACAATTTATATTTATAATTTAGTGATGCATAGCCTGTGCAGTTGTCCACCACTATAAATGAACAATCAGATCGAATATTCCCGTTACTTTTAGTATTCGGTGCTCATCGTAAACATCGTTCTCGGGCTTTTGAAGAAAGTGAGTGGATTGTGTTGTCTCAAGAGGAAATAATATTCAATTTATTTTGCATCATTTAACCGTGTTTGCGAATAATCGAACAAATTAATTCCATTGTTCTTATAATAGCAATAAAATTGATTGAAACATGTGTGACGACGATCCAGCAGCTCTTGTTGTCGACAATGGATCGGGAATGTGCAAAGCGGGTTTTGCTGGAGATGATGCACCGCGTGCTGTTTTCCCATCGATTGTCGGCCGTCCAAGGCATCAAGGCGTGATGGTTGGCATGGGTCAAAAAGATTCATATGTCGGTGATGAAGCGCAGAGCAAACGAGGTATTCTCACACTGAAGTATCCGATCGAACATGGGATCATCACCAACTGGGATGATATGGAAAAAGTGTGGCATCACACATTCTATAATGAATTGCGTGTTGCACCCGAAGAACATCCGATTTTATTGACCGAGGCACCATTGAATCCAAAGGCCAATCGGGAAAAAATGACACAAATCATGTTTGAAACCTTCAACTCGCCAGCTATGTATGTGGCCATTCAAGCGGTTTTATCACTCTACGCTTCTGGTCGCACAACTGGCATCGTTTTAGATTCCGGAGATGGTGTTTCGCACACTGTGCCTATTTATGAAGGTTAGTGACTTCGACGAATTCCATTTTCTTGACAAAAAATGAATAAAAAATTCATACTTCGTTCGAAAAAATATTTTAGAAGAAAAATTCAGAATAACACTATGAAAATTGTGCGAGAATCAGATATTGTTTTTTACTTTACCAATGAAAATAATCGATCGATTTTTCAGGCTATGCTTTACCACATGCAATTTTACGTTTGGATTTGGCTGGTCGCGATTTAACTGATTATTTGATGAAAATCCTCACCGAACGAGGATATTCGTTCACAACGACAGCTGAACGAGAAATTGTCCGAGATATCAAAGAAAAGCTGTGCTATGTGGCTTTGGACTTTGAACAGGAAATGGCAACTGCATCGGCTTCTACATCATTGGAAAAATCGTACGAGTTGCCAGACGGTCAAGTTATCACCATTGGCAATGAACGTTTCCGTTGCCCTGAATCATTGTTCCAGCCATCATTCTTGGGTATGGAATCATGCGGCATTCATGAGACTGTTTATAATTCAATCATGAAATGCGACGTCGATATCCGAAAGGATTTGTATGCCAACACCGTGCTCTCAGGTGGCACCACCATGTATCCAGGCAAACAAACTAGAATAACTATTGATTTTTTCTCCCCAATTTGATTATCTCATTTTCTTTTCTATTTTTACAGGTATTGCGGATCGTATGCAGAAGGAAATCACTGCATTGGCTCCGTCGACAATTAAAATCAAGATTATTGCACCGCCTGAACGTAAATACTCCGTCTGGATTGGCGGCTCAATTTTGTCATCGTTAACTACGTTCCAACAAATGTGGATCTCAAAATCGGAGTATGACGAATCTGGCCCATCAATTGTTCACCGCAAATGTTTCTAAACGAACAAAAGTGCACACTGCACATGATATGTTGTTATGTAAACGATTTGTTTGAGTAAACAACGATTTTCATCCATAAATTTATTCGGTGTTCTTTTTCTAGTTCGTTTAATTTGATAAAACTGCTCTAAGTCCGTTGCATAACTTCATGTAACAACTTCGTGAAAATTCATAAATTCAAACAAAAAAAAATAAACAAAATACGTGGATTTTTTCTTTTTTCATAATTTCCAACATATTTAGCGGAACGTATACCAAAAGCCTCATTCGTGTTTATACCGTCGGTCAAGGATATGCTCTTTTTAATTGTAACCTACGTTCTTTGGAGTGTATACAACTGTACATTTTCTCATCACTTGATATTGTGTTCAAGGAAATTTTTAGCTTGCATTGATCTTGGTTGATGTGGACATATATTTTCCAGAAGATTTAAATTTAGACTGTGTGAAATTACATCGTTTTTTATTGCAATGATTGGACCAATCAGATTGGTAATCTTTGGGAAAGTACTTCCTTAATCAATCAAACAAACAGTGGCCAGTTTACTATATAGCTATCCCTTTTCCGCTCATTCATCATCGACATTCTTCCGCTCAACTTTTCTGTATAACATTTTCGCTCCAAACTACTCATATGCGTGTCATACTAAGCGTGAAAATCAGCGTAGACAAATGAAAAAGTTTTGATTTTTGTCCACTATCCCCTGAAAAGTGTATTTTTGCGCTAGTAAAATCATAATTTTATTGTTGTTTTTGAACGTCATATCTTTAATATACAAGTATCTAAGATTTAATATTCCCGTTACAAAGTGGATATCATAAATGAAAGCAGAGTTTTAATTGAACTTTGCAACTTCAAAACATCGACGTGTTTTCTCAGCCAAGTGCCTAGTCAGGATACTACGATCCAAATTAGCTATAAATAGATTGCAAATCAAACATTGTATTCAGTCTTATTCAATAAATATCTCATTAATATCAGTGGTGTACTACTCATTATTTTACATGAATGTGTCTTTTGTTCATTGTATCCAGTCATTGATGAGAATTTTTGCAAATTGAGTGAATGTGCCGGAAAAAGAATATCATCCTTGAACTTTATCGAAGAAATCCACGTATGCATTTTATTGATACGGCTAAGAATTTCCTATTGATATGATTTCACAAAAAAGGTTAAAATTTTGGTGTATCAAAGAATCTATTGGTTAAAAGGATTGTCAATGTTATCAAAGCCATTTAATGCAATGCAACAATATGAAACACCTTACACCGAAACGAAATATTAGAAAATCGGAAAATTTAAAATGTTCAAAGAAAGAATCGACAGAAATATGATTCAATTATCATTTTGGGTTTTCAATAAATTTTTGATTCCCACGTAGAAAATGCAGAATGTAGGCATTGCGTTGCGTAAAATTCATTAGAAAGAAATCAAAAGAATTGGCTTCTTTTTATTTATTTATTTATTTAATCATCTCTGTGTGGGCAATTATTGGGGAAACCACACAAAAAACCCATTTTCGTTTTATACATTTTAAAATAAGTATGTTTAGTAGGCCCTATCGCACTCACATAGTAAGATAATTAAATTTACTTTATTGTATGAGGAATTGATACGTTTTCATATTAACCTATAATGGCGGCTATGAAATCCATACTGACGACAACATTCAACCAGCCTCTAGTGGTCATACACATAACACACGTTGAGCGGTCAATATATGCACGCAATACAAACACGCTAGCATAGGATTTATACGGTTTGTGCGAATGGCTACTTGATTTTCGGCCATGCATACGCTTATGTGATTGAAATCTTCAACTATCACAACAAGCGTCGTGTCAGTAGAGCTCGTCTTATGTTTACATTGGAAATACGTGTTATTGTTGTTGTAGCTTCATCAACCTATAGTTGTCATTCATTTTGTATGTTATGTTTTTGATTTAGTTCGCATTTCAAGCCACATCTGCAAAGCGCCTACATGTATTTCTTCGATAAAGTTCAAGGATTTTTCCACTTACCAACGAATACATTGAAATCAGCAATTGTTCTCATCAATAAAAATATTATTGTAATATTTCATATTCAGTCATATATTTGGAAAATATACCTTTGAAAGCGTTTTGATTTTTTTTCTCCATATACCCTCTTCCTTTTTCAATAGCTTTTACATGTCATTTATTTTCACTTAAAATGAAACGTAATAATTTGTTCACGCTTCAATGTAGATCTCATCGTTGCGCGACAATTTCATTTTACCATGACGAAAAGGACGCGTCGATTATGTGTTCCATAATAATAAATGAATTTTATCGGATCCTAGATAAAATCACAATCGAAATAATTACCTAATTAAGCGATGACCAGCGACATCCTTATATTAGCTGTGTTCGAAAGTGCTTCGTTCATTTGTTCGAGCAGAGTGAACAGGACAACACCAAAAAGAAGTTGAAGAAGTTGAAACAATTTCGAAAAAAATGGCTGTAAAATCCAACATGAATTTTTCTGAAGCCATCAGTTATATTTTTTACGTGACCAAATTATTCGGTCTGATACCGTATTCACTATCGCAATATCGTCAGCATAAAATTTTGGTTAGTTCATATTTCGGCAATATTCTATCGATTGCTGCGTTGGGCGCCTATGTGTTTTACTATCATTATGTTGTGACCCAGACTTATTTCGATGGCAATCCCTTTAATTCCGGTAAGAGCAAAACAAAATGTGAAGAAAAATAGTGGGCAAAAATAAGGGGATTTAATCTTGGAAACAGGTACATTGACGACAATTATTGGCATTTTCATTTTGTACATGGAACCAATAATGGTAAGTTGTCTAACTTTGTCCAAATCTTTTCGACTTAGAAATATATTCAACCTACAATCTCATAATATTAGATGACATTGGATATGTTGGCAACGCTCATCAATCAGCGTCACTTGGTCCGGTGCATTCAGCGTTTGGAGCAAGTGGATGAAAAATTGGCCAAAGAAAATGTCCAAATCGATTATCGAACTCTGAAACGGCTTTCGCTCATTCTGATCATCGTGACTTTGTTTCGAAAATTTTTAATGATGTTATTTGGGTTTTTTGTGTTTGAATTGAATGTTGTGCAATTGTGGTCGATGTATGTGCCGATTTGTGTGAGTGTTTTATCAAAAATCTTTTTTGTATTGATCGTGTGTAACATTCGTAAGAAATTCGATGCAATTAATTCGTATCTGGACGAATTGGCCAATTCATTGAATTCGTTGAATGAGAACAATTCACTGAATAAGAATAATTCGAATGAGGAAACCGTCGGAGTTGATAATAATAACGTGCAGAATAAATTCCATACTCGTCCAACGAATGCGCCAGCGGCAACATTTCAACCGGGCTATTTGCAACAGGAAATTGTTGTGAAACCAAAACCGAAATTTTTCCAAATCATGACCAGACCCGCTTTGAACTTGGTTAAACCATTCGAATCGCGAGAATTTGTTGGAAACATTGGGTTCTCTCGATCCGGTCAAATGAATGATTCGGTTCGATTTCCGATTAACGAATTCCCTTTGGCAAGAAACGGACCAATTGTGGTTGGTGACAAATTTGATAAACGGCTCACCAACTTGTGCTTTTTGCACGATGAAATATGCGAAATTGTTGGCATTGCAAACTACATGTTCAGTTTTCAAATGTTGATGCTCATGGCGTACGGCTTTCTCGGGATTACTGCTCAACTTTATTTTGTATACTGCGGCCTAGCCAATCAAGTAAGCACTTGTAATACTTTTATATTTTTTCGAAATATTTTCCAAACATTCCAGTGTTTAACTGCTACCCATTTCGATACATTTATAATCATTCTTTTTTTCCTCCATAGCCTGTTCCCCGATTATTCCGTTCGGCTGAGAATATTGGCATTTCATCCGTTCTCATCATATCAACGGCAGTTGTTTGCGTCTATGTGATTTACGTGTGTTGGCAAACGAAGAATTCCGCCGAGAAAACGGGTGTGTTCCTGCATAAATTGGCCAATATCGTCGATGAAAATCATTTTTATGAAACCGTGAGTAGCTTTTTAATTTCTTTCATGATCTAATTTCAATTTATTGATACAATTCATTTATTTTCAATTTATTATCGTTGACCTAATTTAGCTTTTTCGAATAAACATGTTTTCCATTTTTTTTAAAATTCAACAATTTTCGATATTTCCACTTTTAATTATCATTAATATGACATGCATTTCTACACAGATCAATCATCTATCCTTAAAACTATTGAACCATCAGTTGAACTTCACTGCTTGTGGCTTCTTCGATTTGGATATGACAACAATTTATGCAGTATTTTTCATTTTTTTTTCCACTCAAACGAATTTCCTCGGGCGCAATTTAATGATTGTTATCCTTTCATTGTCCGTTTCATTTCAGATCACGGGCGCGATTACCAGTTACCTGATCATTTTGATACAATTCAATGTCGCAGCGCAAAGAAGTAAGAAATTATACCTTCAAAATGCGAATAACAGCGCTTCACCAATTGAAGTTGCAATTAAAAATGACTCAAATGGCGATTAAAAACAGCACATTAAATTCTAATTCAATGTTAACAAGATTTTATTGTGTATTTTTACATGTGATTTGATCACGATTAGCACCTGTTCGAGTGAATAAATGTTTTACAAAAACCAATTTAGTTCGCTGTTTCAGCCTTTGACTTTTTATCAGCCGATGGTGTTCGTGATAGTCGTTGGATGGACCCGTTTTTGCCTAGAATTTCCATCATCTCTGCCACTTGATATCCGTCTTTTTTACTACTCAACAATGCGCGTAGCAGTCGCATCATTTGACCGAAATTAATTCCCTCTCTCTTTGCAAAGCCACGCAACATTTTGACCAGCTCTGGTTTTGTGAACTCAGCACTTCTCAGTTCGGATGTTAATTTGTTCATCCAATCCGGCTCGGTATAATCTGCTTGCAATTCGGGCAAAATCCACAAAAACGACGGATCACCTTCAACTAATTGCTGCAAATTATCCAGGTTGTTACTCGCGAATTTCAATGCATTTTTTATGTGCTCATCACCCAAATCCAACACATCGACACTGGAATAAAACATTATTATTGGTGGTTATCAATAGCTGATCCAATTTAAGTAAATAAAGAATGAGCTCTATAACTTAAGACTAACCTTTCGGGGAACGATTTTTTGATGAGCTGTCGCGCTTGCTCAACTAATCGATTGATCAAAACCGGATCGTTTACTTGCCTTTGAATTTCGAGTCTATTGCATTCATGAAGGTCAGAATGTTGCAAACGGCTGGGATAGTTATTGACTTTGGTTATGTCAAACTTAGAATGAAAAGACAAGCAATTTAATGATAAGTGATAAATTCATTGAATCAAATCGGCAAACTCGATGTGAAACATCTTATTGCATATACTTACTGCTTGTATGAGCTCATCCATTGAATGATATTTTCCTACAGATGAATCCCAATTGAAACCACCACCATTTCTTGTGATGTAATTGTTTAGCGCTTGCGGGAAAATGCCAAGTTTTCTGAAAAGAATTTCATTTTTATTAATTATCAATTGAGAATATTGATGCTGAAACCTAATTTGCAACCTTAGCTAAGAAGAACTCGAATAATAAACTCACTTATAATAGTCCACATTGGCATCATCATGTCGTTTGCTTAATTTCGTTCCTTTTGTACTTAAAATAATGGGCAAATGTGCGTACGATGGCGGTTTCCAATTGAATGCACTAAAAGGACAGAAATTCATTAAATAAAAGAAATAAATGAAAGTTGAAATTTTTGTACGGAATATCTTTCTTGAAAATGTCTATGCAATATTCCTTCAAAGAGATATTTCAAAAGGGATTTATACTTACTGATACATGGCCAAGTGTTTCGGAGTTGAAATTTGCCATTCAACACCTCGAAGCACGTGTGAAATCTCCATCAAGTGATCATCGACAACGTTCGCAAAATGATATGTTGGAAATCCGTCTGATTTCATGATCACAAAATCGCCTTCAGACTGCATACTGAATGTTTTCTGGCCATAAATTAAATCGTTGAATGTTTCGTCCGTTTGATTAAGCTTGAACCTGGTGAGAGTAAAAATAAAATAAATCGATGAAGATTTTATTCCATTTATGCAAAGAAGGTGTCGTTTCAATAACTAAATTATCTCAATATAATAGAATACGTTCACCTCACAACTTTTGGATCATTTCTCGCTAATTTTTCGGCTACTTTTTCCGGTGGCAAATGCCTGCATCTGTTATCATACTTCGGAATTTCATTGGCTCTCATTGCATCCCGTCGTAGCAGCTCTAATCGTCGTTCAGTGCAAAAGCAATAATACGCGTGTCCGTTCGCAACAAGTGTTTCCAAATGTTGATTATACAATGCGAGCCGTTGGCTTTGCACGTATGGTCCAAAGTCACCTCCATGCAAGACACTTTCATCGGGTTTGATTCCTGCCCATTCCAAATTCTGAAAAAGACTCTCCTGTGCACCAGTTACCACTCTCATTTGGTCAGTGTCTTCAATTCGGACGATGAACTTGCCTTGACGTGCCCGAGCAAATAGGTAATTGTAGAGTGCCGTGCGCAGTCCACCCAAATGAAGAAAACCTGGAAATTTAATCTAGCTTAAGTCATACTACAAAACAGTATTCATTCATTCAACATACCAGTTGGGCTTGGTGCAAATCTCACACGCACCGCGCAATTTGGCGATGCTTCACTCTGACCTGTACTACAACACCTGTAGAATCGATCCGTGGAGTTTGTTCGCAGTAGAACTCTAACAGGTCTCAAATTTAACAACATTTTTATGGGAAAAATTACAAATTATTCAGCATCATTCTTGAATCTATCATGGTTCAAACACTGTATGTGACAACCGGTGTAGATGTCAATCGCTTTGGAATGCTCAAACGTAGTACTAGATCCAATGGAAAAAATGATAACAAATAGATTGTTTTTTTTATTTGAATTCAAATGTATTCCATTTTATTAATATATTCAATGAAATTGTATTTGTTCGTCGCTTGGGATCGCATGCCAAAACAAATACTGAAAACATGAATGATATATTTAAAATACAATCCCTTGTGAGTAACTACTCACAACTCATCGAGACGATTCATTTTTTTTTTGATTTTATTTGTCACTTTTTTTCCTCGTGATACGTTTTATTGTCGCTGTCTTTCCTAAGATTTCCATCATATCCGCGACGCCAGGTCCCTCTTTGATGCCAGCCAGCATGGTACGCAACGAGGCCATGAATTTGGGGAATTTCAAATTATTTTCCTTTGAAAATTCACGCAGCAATTCAGAGAGGCGTGTTTTATCGAAATCACCACTTTCAAGGGCCGCTACCAATTTACCCACCCATTCCGACTGGATGTTATCGGGTTGGATTTTTGGTAGTATCCACAAAAATGACAATTCACCCTCGACCAATTGTTGCAACGACTGTAGACGCTCTGTGCCCACCGACCAGTTTAACACGTTGCGAATGTGTTGATCGTCTAGATCAAGACTGTCAATGCTGTCGAATGGTGAAAGACGCAATTTGTTTAAAATTAGATCATTTAATGTAAACACAGGACTTACTGTTTTGGATATGTTCGTTTTATAAGTTCTTGAACTTGTTTCACGATTTCATCACATAATGCTGGATCCTTTATGTGTCGAATCAGTTCCAAACGATTACAATCGTCCAAGAGTTCGGTTTTTAATCGACTCGAATTTTTATTTATCCTTTCGATGTCGAACTGCAATAAATTAATGTTTATAATTAGGAGTAAAGCTTAAATTTTTTCGAATAAACCATACAGCTTTTATTAATTCATCCATTGTGAAATTTCTGAGCTTCGCACCTGGTTCACGTACGAAACCACCACCGCTCAATGTTATGTAGTTAACCAGGGCAAGCGGGAAAATTTTCCGATCTCTGCAAATTGAAGGTGAATGCGTTAATGATTAAAATTGCTGTTAACAATTGGTGAATGGTGTGAATTTACCGGTAATAATCAACATTAGCGTGATCGTGTCGTTTGCTAAGCTTTGTTCCGTCTGGGTTCAATATCAACGGCAGATGACCGAATTGTGGTGGTTTCCATCCAAATGCACTGAAAAATGTACACAAAATAGTTAACAAAAAGTTGGAACCAAGCTACTTGTTTCATGATCATCATCAACTTACTCATACAACAGTAAATGTTTTGGTGTGGAAATTCTCCATTCAGCACCGCGTAGCACATGTGTTACTTCCATTAGATGATCGTCGACAACATTCGCAAAATGATACGTGGGAAATCCGTCCGATTTGATAATGATTGGATCACCTTCGTCACTCACATCGATACTCATTTCGCCAAAGACTAAATCGTTGAACTCAGGTACGGTTTCCGATTCCAATTTAAACCTAAAATTACCGGCTCATTCAATTCGCTAGCCCTTTAATTCTATTGTGTGTTGGTCTTACCGAATGCACATTGGATCGTTATTTGCTAGTTTTTCAGCCACTTGAACCGGTGTCAAATGTCGACATCGATTGTCATATTTCGGTATTTCGTTGGCTTCAATCGCCTCCTTACGCAATGTTTCCAGTCGTTTTTCTGTGCAAAAGCAATAATAGGCACTGCCATTTTCGAGTAGTTTCCTCACCTCTTGCCGATATATTTTGAGTCGTTGACTTTGCACATACGGTCCATAGTTGCCGCCATGAATCACACTCTCGTCAGGCACGATGCCGGCCCATTCTAAATTTCTGAAGAAATTTTGTTGTGCATCTGGAACGGTTCTTGACTGATCGGTGTCTTCAATACGGACGATAAATGTTCCATTGTGTGCTTTGGCATAGAGAAAGTTGATTAAAGCCGTTCGTAAACCACCCAAATGCAAATAACCTGTGGACAAAATGGATCAATTCTTTGCAATGTGTTTTTACTATAGCGTTGCATTTAGAAAGACGTATTTACCTGTTGGACTGGGTGCAAACCGGACACGAACGGATTTATTAGCTACATTTTGTGAACAATCATGCACATCGCTCTGTTGTGTACTACAATATCTAATATATACCGATTTTGTGTTCTGCCTCAGCAACAATTTTATGGGATTGATACGAAAAAGCATTTTATCCGCTTTAATTTCTTTACTTTGACCACATTTGCATTGGTTCGATACGGTACATTCACTTCGATAACAAGAAAATATTGACGGACACTTTCTTTCTGTTGCAGTACTTTTTCTGATTGAAATTTTTTAATCATATTCTCATGATGTTTTGACAGCTCAAGTACATTCTGTCATTGTCAGTGGGCCAGAGAAAAGGTACTTGGAAGCAGTGGAAAGAACACTGGATGTGAAGTACTAGCACAACCAAGCTGGCTAGAATTCTTTACCGAATAAGGAGTATTTTGAAATATAAACATTTAAAATTCAGATTGATACAATAGATTAAATAATATTATTACTTTTATATGCGCTATATCGTTGAATAAATTGAAATTTCGCAGAAAAAAAACTTTTCCAATTGAAAAAAATTTGCCTACAACTTAAAATTTATGCCATTTGCATGTGAAATTGCTCGATATTCAACGTACAACATGTACATTTTTCCTTGTTTTTTCCTACTAATTTGGGATTTTTATCATTCAAATCGAATCGATAAGAAATCTCGTTTATTTTTACTCTGACTTGAATACAAATGGCTAGTGCCGAAAAAAAAGTTGCTTTAATTGTTCAATATTGTCCTTTACTTGTGCCACCAATTTTGGGTTTATATGATAAACCACATCGAAACGAACATCGTTCATTCAAATATCGTGTTCATGAGTTCATTAGCATTATAAATATTTCAGCTCGCGTTTACTTTCGGAACCATACACTTATTTCGCCGTATTTGCTCCATATATGACACAGTATGCACACCCATAAACCATTGTCTGGATTTTGTTTTCGCCATTCCAAAGCAATACAAAATATTACAAAACATATTTCTCGTCCAACACCACACACAAAATCACAATTGTCTTTATTATAAATTCGATTAGAAAAATTCATATGAATCATATGATTATGACCCTGTATTTCAAGAATATTTATATTGAGCCAAAAATTTTGATATCGCTATGATAGCGATCATGTTCCGCAAAGCGATTTGTGTGGTATATTTCGCGTGTGTGTGGCACCTCGACCACCGAACGCTTCAGCACGCTGATATCGTATGAAATGGGCCAATGTCAGCATTGCACCGCATCATGCATACTAAATAGTCCAAAAAAAAAATCGAACCAACTCATGTTTTTATTACTCACCTCGCACCTCGTGCCAAAGATTGCATTTGTTCCAAAATAAAAACAACATATGTAATCATATATCTCGAATAATAATTTTTCTTATATTGTTTTTCCATAAACGTACACGCATGTACTGAATTGGTGTATCGCTTTAATTGCGATTGTTACAAAATGTGTTACATCGATTTTTTGGATCAAGTATAAAAACTGCGATCGATATGACAATCGATATCAGTGCTTGTTTGGATTTTAATCAATAAACATCATTTAATTATTTCATTGAAACGTGAAATTCACCTATTAAAATGATTGCTAAAATTTTGATTGTTGCTTTGTTGTGTGTGGCGTACACTTTGGCCGAGGCACCATTTAAACGTTATCGCTACCAACGGTTCCGTCAAGCACCATCGAGACAATTCTTTGCAAGACAAGAAGCACCGTATCCAGAATCAACCGGAGGTGAACCAGCCGCCGAATATGGTCCACCACCAACAACAACTACTCCAGCTCCAACCTATGGACCACCGCCACCAGCTTATGGGCCACCAGCAGCTCCAGGAGATGTTGAACCTGCTGAGGCTCCAGACACAGAAGTCGTTGCCGCACCATCACGATTCACACAATTTGGCGACAAATTGTCGTTGCCAGCGACTAAAGGACCACAAAAATTCTCACAACGTTTGGAACTTCAACAACAAGTGAAACAATTCCCAAGCCAACAACAAGTTGTTAACCCATTCGTGGCTCCAGTCGGTGCAAAACCAACACAATTCGATACTCGAATTGCACCAACACAATTCGCCACCCCAGTTGCACCAACACAATTCGCCACCCCAGTTG